CTTTGATTTTATTGTAGAGATGAGGTCTCACCAAGTTGCCCAGGCGGGTCTCAAACCCGTGGGCTCAGGCAATCCACTCACCTTAGCCTCCCAAAGTGCTGGGATGACAGGCTGAGCCACCGAGCCCAGCTAAATAAAAGAATTTAATGTGATTCTTCTATTCATGTCCATGGACGGAGTCGGGATGGACATCGTCTCAAATCTGAGTCTTTGAGCTGGCAACTGGCCTCCGTGCCTTGCCTGCTTTCTGCTCCTCCAATGACGGGCATCTTGGAGCATCTCTAAAGTCGGAGAGGTCCACATTTGCTCCTTGTTCCCCAGCTGCTCCCCAGCAGCATCTTCACCATAAGCCTAGCGTCCCTTTGACCAAGCTTGGCGTCCATAAGATGAGATGTCTGGGAGAAAGCTGGGAATTGGGGGTCCTGTTTTGTAGGGGGCTTGCTCTTTTCTCTTGCGAAGTCCACTGGTTTGCTGCCTGGGCTGTAACTTTAGTCGGATAAGTGAGCTTTGCCAGCTGGGCAGGACTTGCTCAGCCACGGCCAGTCCCTTGAGGTTGCAGGCCACAGGCAGAAAGGACTTCTCTTAGCAAGTCGAAGGAACTAGAAGCCCTTTCTTCATCCCTCTCTGCTCTCAAATGGACCACTTTCCCTCTGAATCTGAGTCTTCTAGGCCCTTCCCGAAGCCTGCCAGAGGTAGCCAACACCTGAATATTTCCTAGAAGATGTCTCAAGGTCATAGTCTCCTTCAGCATAAGATCTGTATCCCAGCGTAACCGCTGCTTTGCTCACTAAGGCTCCACCGTCTTCCTGGTCCATTCAGAGGCCTTCCTGCCCTCTGCCTGGATATCCCTTCTCATCCAGTCTACATTTAAGGTTTGTTCATCATAGCAGCCCCTTCCTGGTACTAAGTTCTGTGTGAGTGTGGACAGTGTATGGTGCAAGTAACAGAAAAATCCAGTTTCAATTGACTTATACAATGAGAAAGTTTCATCAGTACATACTACCAAAAAGTACCAGGGTGGATCAGGTGAGGCTGGATCAAGGCTCCAGCTTGATTTCTGACATAGCCTTCCTTTGTGTATTGGCTCAGTCCTCAGCTAACTCCTTCGTGGACCTATGTGGATATGCAGGGGCAGATATTGCATTTGCAAAGCTCACCCCTCTCCCCCAAAGAGACACAGAACTGCCTTTCCCCAGAGGCCTCCAGCAAATGCCGGCCTTCTCTGGTCCAAATGACAATAGGCCAGTCCCTAAAACAAAAATTGTGGTCTGACACATGTGGTCTATTTCTGGGTTCAGAACGGGTCAGTGTCCCTCAAAGCTCATGGGTCTCAGGGTGGGGGGAGCATGGAGGGACAAAAATCAAGATTGTTACCATGTTACTGGAGATAGTTTCCCCATCCCCATAATACAGGACTATGTTAGAAGAGCCCGTCAGTGTCCACCACTTGTTCCCCAGAGGGTCGTGAGGCCCCAGGCCTGCAGTTATCTTCTAAAAGCCTCTGGTCCCCTCCCCCAGTCCAGCCCAGCCCCACCCCAGTGCCCAGCACATGACAAACACATGATCAGATGCACCCAGATCCCCCCTTCGCAGTCCCTATCCCCTTTCCCATCTCCACCCTCCTGAGTCTCCTCCAGACCTTTCTGTAAAGCTGAGCTCTTGCAAGCCTTCTTCCCCTGAAGGCGGTTTTGCAAGACTTCAGATGAGCTGAACTCTCCAGGAAGAGGTGAATGCGCAGGTGCTGATGTTAAATGTCAGGGACTCCTAGAAGCGTGGTCTTGGTGTCAGCAGGTTCTAGGAAGGGACGCGTGAGACAAGAGAGGTTGCTAAGGGTCCCTGACTCTGTGGGTCTCAAACACACTGGTGTGGGAGCTGTGGGTGCGTTATGATCTGGAGCAGCTGATAGGAAGCTCTCTCTTCATCTGGGAACATGTTTCATAAGTACATGGCTGTTTAGCACCAGTGTTAATGGGTGAACGTCCCGGCATCCACCACTTCATGGAATAATGGGTTGGAATTGGTGACCCAGCTCGGAGTCCAGAATTTCTTTTCTTCTTTTTTTTTTCTTTCGAGTCAGGGTCTCACTCTGTCACCCAGGCTGGAGTGCAGTGGCACAATCATGGCTCACTGCAGCCTCGACCTCCGGGGCTCAGGTGATCCTTCCGCCTCAGCCTTCCGAATAGCTGGGACTACAGGCATGCACCACCACATTCAGCTAATTTTTTTATTATTATTTTTGTAACGACGAGGTCTTACTCTGTTGCTCAGACTGATCTTGAACTCCTGGACTCAAGTGATCCTTTCGCTCAGCATCCCAAAATGCTGGGATGACAGGGTGAGCCACCTGCCTGAGCCAGAATTTCTGAGCACAGAACAGCTCAAAAGTCTCACAAGCCTCACTGCCTTTGCTGAGGGAAAATTCCATTTGCTAGCCGTGCTGGCCATCTGTTAAGCA